AAGCCCGGTCGCACTCGTGCGTTGATTAGATACATAGCGTGTCATCTGCTCTGTCTCGTGACTGTCCACAAAATATCAGGTACATATGCACGCTATCAAATTGACACTTTATTGCTAATTTTAAATTTGACACCTGTCAGTGTATACTGTCGTTGTAAATTTTCTGACTTCCGGTTATCTCGTCGTCAGCTCTCAATCAATGTACATATACAATAAAATGGACATGGCTACAGACAACGTTAATTAAGTGACAGTAATTCCTGGTCCGCATGTTAGAACTGGTTTTGGCCCCGGCGTCATTGGTGACCCCTAGGAGGACGTGACAGCTGTATGGTCCAGTGTTTGGCCCCGGCGTCATTGGTGGCCCCTAGGAGGACGTAACAGCTGTATGGTCCAGCGTTTGGCCCCGGCGTCATTGGTAACCCCTAGGAGGACGTAACAGCTGTATGGTCCAGTGTTTGGCCCAGGCGTCATTGGTGACCCCTAAGAGGACGTAACAGCTGTATGGTCTAGTGTTTGGCCCCGGCGTCATTGGTGACCCCTAGGAGGACGTGACAGCTGTATGGTCCAGTGTTTGACCCCGGCGTCATTGGTGACCCCTGGGAGGACGTTACAGCTGTATGGTCCAGGGTTTGGCCCCGGCGTCATTGGTGAACCCTGGGGGGACGTGACAGCTGTATGGTCCAGTGTTTGACCCCGGCGTCATTGGCGAACCCTGGGAGGACGTTACAGCTGTATGGTCCAGTGTTTGGCCCCGGCGTCATTGGTGACCCCTGGGAGGACGTGACAGCTGTATGGTCCAGTGTTTGACTCCGGCGTCATTGGTGACCCCTAGGAGGACGTGACAGCTGTATGGTCCATTGAAGTTATTTTCGGCAAACTGTATCTATAACTAATTTTTATAGGTGCAATTTACCATTCTTTTTTCCCCATAATGACACTAGATCCAGAAAGCGTTCAAGACCTAGTCAGTGGTTGTCGGAATGTCGGACGTGTAGAGGTGGTTTCCGACGATTGCACGTCATCCTCTGGTTAACTAACATATATGTGGTTTACCGTCAGGAGAAACAGATCCTTTAATAGCTAATTCCCTGTCATTTCCTTTCTGTATCATTCATCATTCATGTAAGGACAGAACGACATTTTGAAATTTACTGTTAGGGCTTCATGGTTAATATGTGTAACCGATTTGCGTTCATACAGACATGAACACTAAGAAAATACTGCTCAATCTTTATACGTATTAAAAAATTAGGTATTCCTTAATTTTTTTCGTTTTTGAAAAATCTCATGATTCATTCATTTAGCATCCTAGATAACAACGCGACAATCTTAAACGAAATGATGGCCTATGTGTTTAAGGATGTACAAACAGTGCACTACCAAGCTATCATACTATTAGAGAAGTCATATTTCTGATGCACTGTCGGATAAAATATTCAGAATCAAGTTACTTGGGTGTTTCTTAATTCATATATTCAATATTTATACTGATGTTCGGACGGTTGATTTTGTGAATTTGAGGACATCAGGCTATTAACTTCACAGTTATTTTTGCTACAGGAAGTAAATTGATATCCTTCAACCCAAAGTAACAAGACAGCGGGGCTGTGATTGGTTCGTGTTGTGTTACTGACACTTGACCTCTAATCTGATGTTATAAATTAATTTGTTTCTCCCTGTGTAGCAATGTCACGCTGTATGCACTAACACAGACAATCCTCTGGCATTCTGGCCCGTCATCCATCAAAGCATTCAGTCCGACATAAGTGCTGGTCAAGTGGTCATTTCTTACATATGCAGCGTTGTAATGACCAATCGAATACATGTTTACTGACCAAAGCTCGTCTGCACTTAGTGTCAGGTTATGATGTAGACAATTATCGGGTAATTGTTAATATAGGGTAGACTGACAAACTGACCATTAGGTCAGAGGTTTGTAAACAACACTGACCAACGCTTTGTGTCGTAACTCTTTTATTACCACTTAGCTTGTCGGTAATGATCCTTCAGCTGCGATGTGACGGACTTGACACGAGATTACAGCCGTGATGACTGTACATGCATGTCTGTGGTCTGTAGCGATGTGAAGGAGTGCATCTGTCTAAGATACTTAATAACAATTTATAATTCTCCACCTACTTTGTTTTCATCACAAAACAATCATTCATAAATTTTAATAATACCAAGTGTTCATTGTGACGTCATATGTCTAGAAACATGACTGCTTCTCACACTCAAAATGAATAATTCGTTGTTGATGTAATCAAACCATAAAAGGGTGTGTTTTGTTTGCTAGCGAATACTTATATTTTTATTAATTTGAAAACATTCCAAAACGACCAGAATAATAGTCATGAAAATATACCTAGTTAAATAAATAAATATGAACGTTACTATTTTAATTAATTTGACCGAAACATTCCAGATTCGACTGTCCTTGCTATTTACATTAATTTATAATGTAAATGTATGAAAAGGGTTTAGTCTCACCTAGCATACATTTCTAAAATACCTAGTCTCACCTAGCATACATTTTAATTTTCACACCTGATCACAATTTGGTTAAAGTCTGTTTCAAAATGATGAAGATTGTAGTGTAATACCAGGGATGTATATACTCTGCCTGGTAATACATATTATTATTAAGTACTTTAATCAGAGAAATATTCCATTTATATTCTTTGTAAAGAACTATAGTGACACGTGGTAGTAGATGAAATATTAATTTTATAACAGGTACAGTACTAGCCACCTGTATGTTATTAAAATCTTAAATAATTGTTGATCAAGTAAAGCATCCTTAATTAATCTTAATATCAAAGATTGTTTAAAATTCTGTAATGCATTGTCTATAAATTTCAACTGATACATTAACAGTTTACTGAATGTTGCTATTTTCCCTTTATTTTTATGGTTATGTCTGCAGAATTTCAATAACAAGCTAATTTTGTGTGGACATACACTGTAGATAGGAAAACTGACTATAATTTTCACTTTTCGTAATATTACAAATGTCGATATTGTCAAATTTACTACAAATTAATAGAAGGCGAAATTCACCTTTCACATATGTGGAGGTACATTCCTTACAATGTCTTTGTTCTGAGGGAACATTTCTTTTTCTTCCAGTCTCCATGAATGCAAAGAAGTGTTTAATTTAATGAGACATACATGTATTATATACTTTACAGGATTGTAAGATTGTAAGAATAATTCGTACCATATACCGTAATAAAGTTTTGGTTAATAACACCGTAGGCATGTGGTATAGACAGAATAGTAAAATTTGATAAAAAGTACTTTGAATATGTGAATATATTGCACAAATAATGGAAAAAAGTGTACAATATGATGTACAGTTAACATGAAAAGGACCCTTCGTTGTCATTTTAAATTATTACATTAAATCAATGAAATACTAGTAACTCGGGCTGAACTTATATATTTTTGAAACATACATTGAAAATGAGCTTACATTTTAGTAAAAAAATGGTATAAGGATGTTACAACCTTGACCAGAGAAATAATAATAAAGCGTGCTGCTACTTCTTCGGTACCGGAAGAAATATGTCCAATGTCGCCACAAGTGGCGATCATGGTTGGAGTTCCTGTGACGTGAAACACAAAGTGGAGGTAAGTAGGCCCGGTTAAGGATTAATGGAACTGCCCAGGATAGACATAGACTTATCTATAAAATACATCAGTGGTCAAAAGGAAAACGGATAAGTTGGGAATGCCGTGAAAACAAATTACTCCATCAAGGATGTTTGAACGACTTCTACGTATACGCTCTGAGTCCCAATGTAATATTAGTTATATTATGCATTTTGGCCATAGACAAACATTGGTAAAGTTCCGTTGCGGTAATCTTAAAGTTAAAAGTCGAAACCGGTCGATATTCTCGTCCAGTTACACCTTTACAAGATCGACTCTGTGCTCTGTGTTCATCTGATAGCATTGAAGATGAAACTATTTTTTTTAATTAACTGTGAATTTTACTCGGACATCAGAAGTGATCTTACTAATAAGGCTCTTAATATCAACCCACGCTTTACGGAGCTGGAGGACAAAATTAATGTAAAGTGCATTTTTTTATGACAAATCTGTGTATACAATATATATTAGCCGCTACTTTATATCATATGTATCACAGGCGCCTATGTGTTAAATCATATAATTATGTACAGTGCTAGCGGTTTTACTTATTTTAAGGTGTGATAATGGCCTTTAGTGTCTCATAGGCCAGATTCGGCTGGATGTCGATATCTACTTTTTGTAAAATCTGTTGTTTTAATGTATATCGATATGTGACACTTACACTTACTTATAAATGGTATTGTAATAATATTTGAAGTTAAGACATTTAATCTGAAATTCCCTATTATTATGAAAAAGACTATTCCGTCTTTGCGTATTGCAGAGTTATCTTCTCTTGGGAGCAGGTATTGATTATTACGTCACTGGGTTGTGAGAATCACGTCATCAATTTTTGAGAAAACGACGTAATTTTCTCACACAGACCAATGTCGTAACAATCAATACCTGCTCCCAAGAGAAGATAACTCTGCAATCGCAAAGACGGAATAATAGATGAAGTGGAAACATTTATATCACAAAAAAACAATTTAACACTTTATAGTAAAAACTATAGCTTACCTATAATTAAATCCTTTTGTTCTCTAACTGACACCAAATCTCACCTAGCATACACCCAACACCTTACCTGTACATAAGAAAATACCAAATGTATGCTACGTGAGACGACACAGCATACTCCAAATCAATTTATTTAAGCCCCTGCGAGGCCGACTGGTATCTGCTGGAATCTCCTAGGATCAATATTGTTCCCACATATTTCACATTTTAAATAGCTAATAGTCAGATTTCTTTCCTATACGATAACTGCTTTTCATCTTCTTTTTTTTCTGAAATAAAGAAATTTTCAACAAGACAAAACAGTTTTTCAACATTTTATTTTCAACAGAAAATATCATATAAGATCGGTTTCAAAAGTAAGTAAATATATTTACAATATAAATATATCAGATTGTTATAAATGTAATACAAAGTTAAATACGTGATTCATCATTAAACGTTGAAATGTAGATATATTGCATTATTGGTAGATTATTGGTAAATAGAACACTACGATTGGAACTAAACACTTATTGACTTCCTACGATGTTGATGCTATGATTGATCAAATACCGGAAATTTAAATTAATCTCGGTTTTAAAATAATTAATTATATTCCTCAAAGGGTTGACAAATTATTCATCAACCTCGACACAAGTCGGTGGCTGTACTGTGCTTAAATCAAGGTTAAATCAACTGATTTTGGACGATTTCAGACAGATTAATAAATACAAGATTACAAAAAACGAAAAAACTACAGCGAAAACATGACACGGATATTCGTGCGTCTACCTAAACTAATGAAATTCCAAGTGTTACTTGAGGAAAAGAGACATATTGAAAACCTGTCATGTCACGTGCGTCAATATGTAATGTCCCCAACGACATGTACATGCTGTTGAACATTTGGAACCTCGTGCATTTGTACTACTTATCCTAATACTAAACTAGTTTCAATCACTTTTTGAAGATTTTACTATCGAAATACTGATAAGAAAAGGCCTTTTGCTAATCGATACGCACATTTTAAAGTTTAAATGCTAAACTTCTGATTTTGATGACTTTGAAAAGTTCACATAAGGAATGACCTGTAATAAGTCGCATAAGGAATGACCTGTAATACGTCATATAAGAAATGACCTGTAATAAAAAGGCTTTATCTGCACCTAATGGCGATTGTTTTTATCGCTGTCAAACATAACAGAGGAAACATTCTAATTGCGAATAACCGAATTCAGTTCTTAGAATACGAATTAAGGGCCGTATCCGAGAGAGGTGTTGTTAGTGACAACCCAACCCTCATCATCTATCCGTCGGATTGATGAATAGACATATTTCACGTAAAAAATGTCAGGACTACTATTACTGTTATTTACAACTTCTGTTATTCATATTAAATCAATAATATCTGACACTTGAAGGTCAAAACTCATAATCAATACAGGAAGCGATTTTTAAGTGTTGTTAGTTTTGTGCAAATACACGAGCATTACTGCTTGTGAATAACTTTCACAAATGTATGCATATATATCTTAATTTGATTTATCATACTGGACAATATTTTTTTTCTTCCTAGACAAACGTAATTCTGAAACCAGTGGCGATTTGATTGATAGGGATATAAGCTTCGGATAAGCATTAAGAATGAAATAGCAAATAATTACTGTAGAATATTTGCCTGTCTGATTTAAAATAACAATCAAATTCATAGAAGGTAATATGACTCTATTTTAACAGAAGCATCAACAATTATCAAGAGGCCACACACGCATAATCAACAGAAAACACAAATAAAAAAGATAATATATAAACAAGACTTAATATCATTAACATTAGAACCAATAGTTTCAAGCCGTGGTAAGCTTCTAAATATTTACAAAAATATATAAATTCATAAAATAAATTTACATATATAAGTGTAAATGAATTCAGAATGTTAATTGAAGGCAAAATACATATATAGTAAATATTCAGATATTTCTCAGAAATCCCAATTGGTGATCATTAACAAATCGTTAAGCTAACCAGTCTTTGGACATTTTGTCCCAAAAAGGATGTACAACATAATGAACTAACGGAAGACATTGATTTGAAAATAACAACAATTAGCACCGTTTTCTGCACATGATATGACCCGCTAGACTTGCTCAAGCCCCACATATCTGGTGTGTTCAACCCGTATGTTCTTAGACAAGTTGTATGCATGGTAAACACCAAGACAGTAAACCGGCAACTCCTCTTCCAAGCCTTAAATTAATCTATTTTAGGTTATATAAACATGTTTAATTATATTACCTACATTTTTCCATATAAGTTATATTTTTTTTATACATATGAGATGTTTAGCTATACTCGAGTTTTGCCTTACGAAACGGTTCATTACAGGTAGTTCCTGTACAATAACATCCGTGTTTTTATTTAGTCGTCGTATTATAAACATCCGGTTCGTTAGCCGACATACAATAACATCCGGTCAGTTAGTTATTGCATATCGGGTCTATCAATTTTCTGTTCAATAACACTCATGTTCATTAGACCTGTGGACGCTAGTTATCGCCCTTTGGTTCATGACACTTCTCGAAGAGGACCTGTCTATTTTTACGACACGAAGTTTCTGAAGTATACCTGGACGATGGGACGTCTTGGCGTAGTATATAGAGTTTTGGCTGTACATTCTGCAGCTAATATTGAGACGTGTTGAAATTAATATGTTAATACTTATAACGATACTATACGTTTCCTATCCTCATAACCTATGTGGCGTATCTGTCATACACCAATAAAACGCCTCCTTCGTCATACGTCATTTCACATACGCCATCACCGCACTTAATTACAACACATTTCACAACCAGAACAGTAGTAACATGTAAATGTCATAGCACCTGTTGAATATAATTATACAACACGGGGATATCCCAAACCGGTAAAGGGGCAAGCCAAAATGCATTACGCGCATTCTGTGGCAAGAATCGTCTGTTCGGAACTCTTCTCACCAGTGGTATCGAACCGAAATCGTTGGCTATTCATCTCACGACCCGCCTACATGAACGAATCTCTGGTTTTAATTCACACGAAATGTTTTAACATTTAAGGTGAACCTGAAAGTTATTCTATGGCGTCGGAATAGGCATCATTCCAGTCTGAGGACGAACTGTTACGGAAATGAAAGCAAAACCAGAACTGATAACTCACTCTCCTTCTTCCCTGATATGATACCCCGTGATCTATTGTAAGTGCCTGTCACGTGATCACTGTGGTTGATAAGCGTCGTCAGTGAGTGGTTCCTTCTCGCCGAGAGGGGGCGCCATCTCGTTGTCCTCGATACCCGCATGGTTATTAGCGACATTATTGTTTGGACTGTGTTTTGCTTTGAAAATTTTCCACAACTCGCGCATCAAGTCGACAACCACTAAGTCTGTCGAGTTCTTGGCGATCATGTATAACACAAATATACCGTCATTTCTCAGATATCCTTCTGCGAATTGTGCGCACAATTTTTTGTCATAATTACTATGAATTTCGTTGCTGATTTTGAGATATTTCTTCACGTATCTGATTTTGTTTTGTTTAAAGATATGATAAATGGCAGTTTTCAGCAAACTGAAGCATGCAAGTGTTGCTACTAACACAAACCAAAACCACAAAAATATGAAGATTTTCTCGTTGAACAGATTGATGGGAAGAACACACTGTACGGTCCACGGTTGAACATTCTGTAACTGACGTATCCGGAAGTCGCACAGAGTTACTCTGGGAAATCTCGGATTTTCTCGCACAGGTTCGTTTTTAATGAGACTTTCGATGTATTGGATACCATACATGTTGTAATCCGTAGCCATAAACGCGTTCAGGATGAAAAACTGGCTGATGGCGTTTACGACGTAGATGATTTTAATGATCATGTAGAGACCTGTGAGGAAGGTACCGGCACGCCTGTTCATCAAACAACACATAACCTTTGTCATCTGCGCGTGCACTCTAACAATGATGTTTCGCTTGTACTCTTGATAGGTTCCAAGCCATTTGTCCATATACATTGCCAAATTCTCTATGGTTTCCAGGCGGTCTTCCGGTGAGCCATCCTGGGTCTCCTCGGCCAGTCGGACAACCTTGTCTATATTTATGCCGGCTTGTGTATTGAGCATGCGCCATGCGATGTTGGGAATCTTGAAAAGGAATGCCTGGAGGAGGAGAATGAGAGGTATCCACTGATAATAGGTAAGTTCCTTTTCCTGTCGAATTTCGTCCTCGTCCGGGATCGAGTCCGTCATAGGGATATAGTAAGTATTGGAAATCCAGCAAACATACTTCGTGTATTCCTCGAAGGCGTCCGTGAACTCTGCCGGACACCAACAATGAATCGGATCCCCGAAGAACTGACCGGAACTGACCACAATGGCGAAGACAACAAGCATGAGTACCGTGTACATGTGGCTGATACGGTCGATCCAGTCATCGCTCGTGCTCCCTCGTAGTTTGTTTAGCGAGGGGACGAACCCCAGCACCTCGGACACCCTGTCAAACAGAAAAATAATAAATTTAGTCATCAGTTACACGAATAGGTCCATCACTTCCGGTGTTTGGGGAAGTTAAGAAATATTTCCGAGGAAATAATTCCGACTTACAACATAAACACAGCGAGAAAACCTGTAGGACAGTCAAGAATATAACACACATCTGTGGAATAATGAAAAACTAAAAACGGTCACAAACAGTAACCGATGTTTTTGATGTCTATGGGTTTGAGAAGTCAGTTCATGGTTAGTTGGATTTCGTAAAGCCATAGAATGAACGGCGACCTGTAAAGTAGATCATCTACAGAGAGAAAGGGAGAAAGGAATAAAACACAGGTCAATGAATCTCATGTTTAATTAACACACATTCTGAAGTTGTTTGTTTACAAAACTCTCTGCAACAACGAAATCGAGAGAAATATTTTTAGCGGATAATTTTGATTCTGAATTGATTATTTCTCTTCGGAAAATATACATTTTTAGCAAAGTATGACTGAGTGACGTTGGAAGTAAGGCGTTGTCATTCATGGTTAGACGAGATATAAGACAGAAACACTTCGGACAGACACTAAAAACTGGACAAAAACAAAACGGCCGACATCATGTCCGAAATAAAGACAATGGCACAATCCACACCTGGCGAGAAGAGGAACACAGCCACACAAAGGTCTCCGATATGGACAGAGAATTATTTAGACACACCAGGAGGACACAAACAAGGAGAGAGAAATATAAAATATCGTGAGATACACACAAAATGTGAGGAGAGGAATACATGAAGGACGCAATATAATGAGGATAACATAGAAATGGACAAACAATAGGGTAGAGGGACACATAGAAAGTCTGAATGAGAGAAAAGAGTCAGAAGAGAGGATTACGTTGAGAAAAGTCGAGATTTTGAAACATTAATGATGAGGAGATGAACGGACGTTTACATATACTTACATATTTTATTAGAGCAATCTGACCTCAATATCACTTATACGTTTTTCAATATAACTACTATATATTGTATATATGAAGTTTAAGTGAAAGCGGTTCAGTCTGTTAGTGTGTACAGGCTAACACGCCTTGTACGTCTTACTTCACTTATATAGACACATAACGCTATTTCGCAATACATGAGTGCGGGGCTTGTGTACGTGGAAATTACAAATACACTGCAATGAAAATATTCTTTTAAGTTCAGATGTACCGTATAATCTTATTCATTGAAAATGAATTTGAAAATTGAAATTCTTGATTCCAGTTTGAATTTTAAATTTTCATTATAAGATCAAACCAGACAAGAAATTCAATAATGTGTGGGTTTTATTACAGATATTGTACAGTGGTTTGATATATATCAAATACAGTCTGCCACATTTTCTACAATGGTTCAGTTTTATAGGTTGTAGACAGGTAATGTCTATGTATTGCACCCTTTTTAACATGCACAGCAGATAAAACCCGTCTAAAAAAACTCAATAAACACATCGTGAGTTTAAAAATGTCCACACAAAAACTGGTCCCACGACTTTCTAGGTGTATCCAGACAGTTTACAACATGTAACGTACGTACTGGCGATAGTGTGGTTTCTGTGGGTGTCACATGACCAACTCTCGGCTTGTTTACCTGTACCTACGTCGACATAAATACATAGAGAGACCCATGGTCAGCTTCATGTATCATGAAATAAAATTGGACAATAAAGTTCTTTCGTTTAAACTTTAATATCTAATCGACTTGATAACGAAGTTGTCTTTTGTAGTATTTTCCTATGTTCTCTGCGATGATTAGAATGTACAAGTAACGGTAAGACAGATCGAGATCGGCATTAAAGCTAACAAAGCTCTCCGCGTCCATCCCAGTGTTGGTGATGTAGGTACAAGTGAACGCCTATACCGATGTAAGTGGCGTGATAACTCGGAATCCCGAACCAGGCATGCGTGACGAATTTACCTGGGAAGGAGGGGTGTACACCTGTAGCTTGTAGGTGAATTTAGACTTGCTGTAGTTCTAATCTTAAAAGAGTCTTTCCAAGTCGGCGCCACTAGTGTTTGCCTTATGTTCGGTCGGTCCATTCGTACTAAATGATACAGTTTGTTTAGACCTTGATTTTGACTCTATTTACCAAATACTTGACCTCCAATAATTATGAAAGGGGTCAGGTGGTAGCGGTTGATACGAAGTTGATCAAATTGTTACACAAGATTATAAGATTTCTTTTATAAATATGTTTAATAAACAAAGACATTTAAAATGTCACCATACTTCAAACGTGTATACATTTTGAGGTATATTATATAAATAAATAAAATGTAGGTCACTGCGACCTATAATTTCCGCTTCACTGACTTTGGTCCGACTTTATGTTTAACCCTTCATTTCTGTCGAAGCAGGACATGCACCTGTGTCTGTTCTACATACATTTCTAGTTACTTAATATAAATCTATTACAATGATCGAATCTCGGATGAAAGACTTGCTCATGTCCATGTTTACCCTCACATTAAATATACCAAAATTACTGATAAATACAAGCCCTCAAACTTATGTACCGAGAAGTATTCTCTATAATGGTGATTTAGCCACGTATGGTACTGTTGTATTTTCAGCGCTCACTAAATATCTACACTCTCGTTCAGAACGGCCGGTACTCTGTCTATGACCCTTATATAATGCCCTTTAACCTATGAACTTAGTTCCTTGAATCGCTTAAAATACAATATATCTAGTGCCGTTTTAACCCATATCTCTTTCACAGATATGAAACCCCTACTTTCGGTACACAATCAACAACTGCTTACAACCCGCTTGCTTCAAGCTGACTCCTATTTCCGTTACACATTAATAGTGTTGCTGATTGCGAAATATTTCACTGTTGCAGCAACATTTTATTACAATCAGACCTGTAGGATGTTCGCTCCTTCATCTCTTCATTATTTCCTAATACATGTGTTTTAGCGGGTCTCAGTGTCGCCATCAAGACTTGCTATATATAGCTATAGTGGCCCTTATGTCAGTAAACAGGAATTTCGACACAATTTTCTTTTTTAATTTTCTTCTTCTCTTCATTTTAAATGATACATGCAAGATATGTTGACTAGGCAATTCTGTCAGGTTTGGGTTTATCAGAGATATATCCTGTTCGTATGCCTTGTCAATCTTGACCGACGAAGTCCCAAATTCCGGTAAAAAATCATTCTAAACAAGAACATATCCCTTTAAAAATAAGCATTTCTGGTATAGATCTTCAGAGCCGAATCATACTTTCTAGTATATGGCAGATTCGTTGGTTAAAATGATTAGTTAGCTGTTGATTTGGGGGAGGTGGGGACGTCTATTCCATGAAATGGTTAGTCAGCTGTTGATTTGGGGGAGGTGGGGACGTCTATTCCATGAAATGGTTAGTAAGCTGTTGATTTGGGGGAGGTAGGGAGTTCTATTCCATGAAATGGCAAGTTGGCTGTTGATTTGGGGGATATGGGGATGTTTTCTATTCCATAAAATGGCAAGTTAGCTGTTGGTTTGGGGGAGGAGGGGAGTTCTATTCCATGGAATGGCTAGTTAGCTGTTGATTCCATGAAATGACTAGTTAGCTGTTGATTTGGGGGATATGGGGATGTTTTCTATTCCATAAAATGGCTAGTTTGCTGTTGATTTGGGGGAGGTGGGGAGTTCTTCTAGTCCATGAAATGGCTTGTTTGCTGTTGACTTGGGGGAGGTGAGGAGTTCTTCTAGTCCATGAAATGACTAGTTTGCTGTTGACTTGGGGGAGGTGGGGAGTTCTTCTAGTCCATGAAATGACTAGTTTGCTGTTGATTTGGGGGAGGTGGGGAGTTCTTCTATTCCGTGAAATGACTAATTAGCTGTTGATTCCATAGAATGACTAGTTAGCTGATTCCATGGAATGACTAGTTAGCTGTTGATTCCATAGAATGACTAGTTAGCTGTTGATTCCATAGAATGACTTGTTAGCTGTTGATTCCATGAAATGACTAGTTAGCTGTTGATTCCATGGAATGACTAGTTAGCTGTTGATTCCATAGAATGACTAGTTAGCTGTTGATTTGGGAAGGTGGGGCAGTCTTCTTTTATACAAGTATATAGTTAATACGATGGTCTGTTATCATTTATAGACTTTATCATATTACAATAACTGAAGATTACTTTATACTTTTTTTCTGGTCAAGGGGATCTGCTATCAACTCTGATTATCTATCCGAGTCTCTCCCTCTCTCCCTGTCTCTCTGTCTCTCTCTCCGTCTCTCTCGCTCTCACTCTTTATACCTTCATCGCTGCGACAACAAAACATCACTCCCGCTACCATTTAAACAAAACAAAACCAATCAAATAACGTTTGATCGGCATCTTGCAAGCAAGATTTTCTTCTTCTATATTTTGTCACGAGGTATGCAGATGTGACAACGGTTTCTAATTATAACCTTGTCACAAACTCCGTACATAACCCGCCCTCTAGAAGTATCCCAAGGATTAAATACCTTGATTTCAATGATTGGGATAAATAGGTGTATTTAACCGACGTGTAAATGGGATAATACTCCCCATTTTGAGTATTTACAGAAAGTACAACCTGAAAACCGTACCTCGTCACCAATCCTTAATATCGTTCTAACTTTAAAGATGTCCCTCATTCTGAGAGATACCTACACAATCAGGAAGCATTACACAACCTCGCATCCGACTAAAACTAGTTCGCCATTGTGTCACCCTCTCGTGTCAGATGTAAACAGTCCGCCATTAGTACACTCTTCTTCCTTGTTACCTACCATTCGAACGCTCCTATCGACGTCTCGGTCAATTCGTAATCCTGATCTTCGTAGGTATTGGCCTCTTCTGCTGCCTCCGACATGGTTACGGCGTAATCGAGTTTTTACCAAAGATGGCCGACAATTCCAGACGGAAATTGTTTATATCTACGTTTAAAAAACCTGAACACATACAGGGTATCAGTACATTTGAACACACACCTACGTCATGGGGAAACACATTTGTTCTTTATATATAACTTTCGCGGTAACTGTCACAAAATGCGTCGTCTGCTTTAAAATTAAAAATGATCCTATATATATTATATAACAACAGATAAAGAGTTCGATCTGGAGTTAATTTAGATGTTATGCAATGTTGATTTTAAAAATAAACACAGCACAGAATCATATGAGGCTACTTCGACTTTTCATGGAAAAGTATTTATAGTACCAACAAAAATCCACAAAAAGAATCTTATGATAGGACTTTCCAGTAGTCTCCGAATCCACCATGTAGGTCTAACATTCAAATTTAGGAAGAGATGATTTCCCTCAACACTAACAGAAGGAAACGTAAAAAAAAGGACAATGGATGTTCCGCAAGGCCGCGGCATTGATCGAAGACGAAGGTATGTAAATGGTTGAACTAGGCCAAACGGAAAGTGTAGGGACGCGACAGATTTTATATGTGTTTTAAACGAACAATGGCAGATACGGGTAAGTCGGTGTGTGACTGCGTCTTATGATAGTCATTCCACTGACGGACTCCCTGTATGAGACAAGACACACGCCTTTGAATTCTCTGATAACCCTTTAGTTTGATAACAGCCAGGTTTAATGTCCGTATAAAAGTTTAGTGACCTCAATCGATACGGGAAAACATACATTTTGATGTACAGCGAAATCGAATAGTTGTTCTCGCGTTTCTATCTTTCCTTCCACTTCTTATCTCCCCTTTGCTAGACTTGCTCAGGTCTACAACATGCACATACAGGTTCCTATCTATAAGACAGTTAGCCAACGACAACAGTATATGTCACTGATATTATCTTCATTTACTTATTGTTTTTAATGCCATATACTTAGCCTCACGAGGCTGAAATTATTTCTGTTTGCTAGTTTTAAGATTAGGGTGAGTCTAACTCTCGGGTCCCTATGTTTTTAGCATATCAAGGCTTGTATCAAAGCCGAATGTTGCGGACTATGAACCATCAAAGGTTAAAAAAGGTAGTTCAAAGTTTACTTCGTTTTTGTTTCAAAACAAATAAGTCGGTAGAACTATTGATAATTTAAATAAAATAATATTTTTTTTGTCAGTAAAGTTACCTCCCCTGGAAGTGCTCTTGGGTGTACAAGAGACATTGCAAGTCCGGCTTACATAGCTGTTTCTCAAGCTTTTTGGCCCTGTAGTAATGTCGGGTCCTAGAAGGACGAGACAATGATGAAGTGTAAATCTGTTTATTTCTTATACAAATTTGAAAGGTGTAGCATGTGTACGCATCTTAACACGAATACATTATGCATTAATATCTGAACAAAGAACAGAAACATTCATATCTTATATGTTTAGTTTGTGAAGCGGTCTAGACTACAGACTGGTACGGCAGACTTATATTCAGGGACACGCCGACATTTATTAATATACAGTACAAATAATACATTAGTAGTGCACCCCTCCAGTGTTACATAACACACACAAACTCCAAGTGATTCATGGTATAAATCAATAAAGCGTGCCCCGTCTTATACATACCTCGGGTATAAGTCATGAGAAATTATCGATTACTTCTACAACTTGACAAATGACAGTATCATGACCACCTTAGTTTTGCGTCAAGTTGACACGTACCGTATATGCCCTAATAAGGACGACGAATTCAATGTTAAAAAACTTTCGGTCCAATGGAGAAACCAGAACATATTTATTTTAGCTATAACAAAAACTACTTTCCCAGCGCTTTGTGTATTAAAATTACAATGGATTGTGTAAATTTGTCAAATTATATTTAACTTGCATCCGTTAAACAGGGATCTGACACCACGGTAACAACAGCTTTATGAGAGGATAAAGTCGTGAGCATAGTTTGTCCCATAGACAACAAACAATACACAAGGTCAAACAAGGTCAACGCATCCCCACTGCTGAAATCTCAGCACGTTTATACCTAAACGATATCTCTAACGATGTACGTAATTAATTCGCGATTATGTTTCCATCTTTCGTACGACGTAACGTTACGAATACATAATTAGCGATATTCAATCCACTAGGGCCTCACAATATCTTATAACACGCCCTAATGACTCCAGTAATGGCAGTGCCAACTAGTAATAGGTATTAACTACTAACCATTTTTCATAAACACGGGATTAACGAATGTTGATGTATCATGATGTCCAGTAATGCAAGATATCGGGATTTTAAAGATTTTAACACATTTCGTCAATTTTTACGTGTTTTTGTGTTAAATGCGACTAAAACAGAGTTAAATTTACACAACATACAGTTTTGCGGAAATTGGATCGATCAAATTGATAGGATTTATCTCGCGTTTATTTTCAAACAAAACAAATGGACTGACCGTATTTTGTTTTCTTTCTGGTGATGAAAACGCGAGAGGCTACATATGACACAATGGAGCGCGTTTAAACGTGGTCTGCCACCTGTACATCTCCCGCTCGGTCGACCAGATATTTTCTGATGTCCAAAAGGACAATGATAAACAAGATAGAAAAGTGTACATTACGTTTCCCATCAAGCTAGCCTTGGATACACCGTGCCCATATGTTTGCGGTTTAACGACCTCGCAACAATCAGGGTCAAACAAACAACACTTACAGTAAAATTTCGATCTAACGCCTCTTATTTCATTTACCATCTCGCTTACCGCCAACATACCTCAAAGCAGAATCTTTCCTTTCCTTCAAATTTCTAACACACTTATTCCCTCGAAATATCGCCAAACCCCTTTACAACGCCAAACATTTTCGCGTGACTACTGGTGGCGATATAACGATGTTTAACAGCATAAATATATAAACGAATATGCCGTCTAACCCTTTCTGAAACGCTTCAGGCTCACAACTATTTTTTTTTTTAAATGCTTTTACCAACACGTCAACAGGTCCAGTACACTCTGCCGATTGAGCTATATAGCTGTAAAGACCTATAATAGCTCTATTGACCTATCTGAAATAGGTCTTTTGAGCTATTTTCATGAGATTTTCTTTTTTATGGAAAACGAAACAAAGACGCTTATAAAAGAAGATTTTATCATTCGGTTGATAACAAAAGACATTAAATATAGGTATTCTTTTTAAAATATAATGATGTAAAAAAAAATCGAAAATTTAACATTTATGAAAAATGAAAATAAACATCTTAATGTATGCTTTTTGTAGTCAACATTACCATAAACCTTCATTTCTTATGACACTTTGCTTAAATTTAATGAAAATTGAAATCTGAGAAAACATAGCTCATAACAGCTATAATTTATAGGTGAATATAGCTATATAGCTCAATCGGCAGAGTGGACTGGACCTGGTCAATATTTTTAAAATTAAATTAAATCGACAAAAATTCAAGGATACCTACATTTTGTGTGTTCTTCAGGAGAATGTTACCGTTAGGCTCCGAACCATCCAGAGTACGGATGAGCTATCCGGGTAGGCGTGGCGTACCGAAGTTGTTGATCGGATGTGAGGACACTTGCGTGCCTCAGTGAAGATAGGCCACGAATAGCGACAACCAATTAGGGTAGGATTTAACACGCACGGGTGAGATAATCCCTATATATATGTAAATAAAATATGATCACCCCTCTCAGCGTGTTTTAAATTTTTCCCTTTACCTGTGGTGTATGTTGGTTATACTGCCTTAATTCAAATCCGAACACTTTTCTTGGTCGAATAAATATCCTATATTTATGCAGTCACAGTTATGTTCAAAGTTCTCACTTTAAATCTTTATGTTACGCGTTATGAACACGTCCAGTACTTACAGCCGTGTACATTCTGAGCTACTTTAACAGTGTTCACCGATACATCCATCTTAATGTCCAGTAACGTTAAAGAGAAAGTTTATGAAAACTTCACTTGTCAATCACTCACGTCAAACATACACAAGACGTTATGTCAATAATACCATTTCAGATAATTCTGGTCGTACAGCACATATCAACTTAGTGCAGTCCTGTCCAAATAGAAATACCATGTTATTTACAATCTGTGTTCTCGTAGCGGTTAATATGTCCCTTTGAACAGCCCACACATGCAGACGAATGCCCACATCCAAGTTCAATAATGACCTCCGTAAATGCATACTGCACCAATTTAAAAAGATGGAAGTAAATTTATTATAAATTAGGCAATTTGTGTACGACAGGTCACAGCAAATAAGGCGAACACAAATGTTTGAGGAAGTGGCAATAATGAAATAAGGAGCGAAGTCCAAAGGATAAATATAGAAACACAGACTGATAAGCTCCTAGATAAACAAACGTCTAGATAACATTGATATCTCCTCTCGGTCAGACGTTTGGTAGACAATGGCGAACGCACCCGGGGTTCTGTCAGATGATTCCTGTCAGAGGGGTTCCGGGTTTTACAAGACGGTATCGGTTAATCAATACATTGATATCACCAGGAGAAAAGGATAACCGTATAGATCGATCTAACAGTCCGAGTATGGTGTTGATTTCTTACTCTTGTTTTAATTAGAAACACATTTTGCCTGAACATCTCAACATGCATCCCGAGGCCAATAAACCTAGTCTCTCTTCTTTCCTCTCAACAAACACTTATCAGTTAGATTAATCTGATCTAATCTCAGAGATGGACACACCATGGTTCCAAGACATACTAACGGTGTCTTTGATTATGATATATTTTCATACTTTAACACTGACTTGAGCAAGTCTATTGGCTCTTTACCAAAGATAAGCACCACATATTAAGACTCGCTCTAGACCATAAACAAAACAAATAACAAAACAGAAATACTTAACACATTCATCACAGAAGAAGCATTTGAACTCTTCCAATTCAAAAGTTGGAATAGTTCATTATGAAATCTCAGGGATGAATGAGTTAAAGTACGGTCTATATTCGACAAAGCAATGTTAAACCTCACCTTGACTACAACAACGCCGAGAAAAGAATTTTAGTTTATAATTAGGGTAGAGAATTAATGCAATTAGTCAATGACACTTTATCACATAAGAAAATCCATATATTTACATTTGTTTCACTAGTTTTGTAGACATACATGGAACCTAGACCGTCAATAGACGAAATGAGAAGGATAGAGACACGAGGAGTGAAGGATAAGGACAGGAAGCGGATAAAGGAGAGACATGATGGGAAAGAAGGATAGACATGACGGACGATGACTGATATACTCACGAAGAGAGGGAAAGAAAGGGATGTGAACAGAAAGATGAGGACAAAAGGAGAAAGGCTGGCAAGGATGGGGAGGAGGCAGATGTGTTAAAGGCAACTTAAAGTGCGATCTCACTGAACCGTCAGAGCACCTTACCAAATAAAAAGACAATGGGCTTACCAAAGGTAAACACTAAAGGAGAGTGTGAGAGTTTGACGGGGAGAAGTGCTGAAGACCAAGTAACATAAAGCGCTAAACTAGGTCAAAGGTCAGTTAGAAAAGTCCTGAAAGTGCTTGTAATGTATTCTGGAACACTTATCATAAGTTCTGCTATATAATAAGACGTCCTTCTATCATGTGTTTCCAAACGATTTAACTCAATGATAATACAAACGTTGATACATTTCAAAATCATGAACAAAAAAACATCAATTAATTTTAATGTCTATTTAAGACTTCAGGCATTTGAAATATGGTAATTGACTGGTGATACTTAACCACAAATAAAAAAAAGTTGTAAGTCGTGCGGATTTTCAAAATGAGTGGTTCTAAATGAATCAACCACTATAGCAGAGTTCGTGTTATCAAAAAAACCCACCAGAAATGTATTTGAAACATATAATCAACAGGTAAATCTAATTAGGCTGTTCACACTTCAGTGAATATCAGTAAAGTTAGGGAAGTACTACTGAGGTTATATACCTAACAACAGTCAGTCTCATTCAGTATCATTCGGAAATGTTATATTTAGAAACTGGTTTGCATTGATAGGTTCGGCTTGTGGCAGTACATTCCTAGTACATTTTCCTATAGCAACGGCGAGGCTATAAGGTGGGTCTGTTTATGTGTAATACCCTTCCATAACCAATACAGTGAACACCTTTCATCTTTGTTTTATGACTTAAGGTAGAAAAAAATAACTACCAATAATATTTTGTTCCATTAAATTATGTGAATTAGTGTTGTGTAATGGATTACTTCAGCAGCATGCCGATACAAATATTCGCACTCTGGAAAGTTCACTCCTATTGCGTTTATCGATGCAGTACAAAGATAAATGTACAGAAGTGTACTATCAAATGAACATTGGAACAGCAATATTTCGACACCGCATAAACGTAAGAAACGATAACGCGAAAATTTCAACACGCGAAATTTTTCATTTTTACAATAAATCAAATCTTATTCTTCCTTCTTTCCCTAGAGAACCTAGATTTCAGTACTTACCTAGTATTTCTTTCACTGATTCTAAACAAGCAGTTCTGCATGAAGTCAAAATAGTGTCGTTATATATAAGACACATTTGAAAAATCGAACGTTTGGCCTAGCTAACTACCTAGGCTATCTAACCAGATTATTTGAGAAACGAAAGTCTCTTTGAGATTCAAAATCAAAATGAAAAAAAACCAACACATTTGTTTGGTCTTATTGAAATCCCATTCAGACGTAGACAGATAATACTTAACCATGGTTTTACAAAACTAGAAAACTAAACATTCCTTAACGATAGGAATGTTTAAAAGCTTAAATGTTGGAAAATGTATCTCTTACATTTGTAATTACAATTGATGATTGATGACATCACGTGATAATGACTTTAATAACTTCTCATGAACCCTTATCGACAGTTTATCATTTTAACGAGCACTATTTTTAATCATATAAGACTTTCGTCGGTGTTTAACCTCGTGGTTTGAATTTATATTGCGCCATTATATTTTATTAAACTCGAAATTAACCTTAAATTGTTTAAAACATACAGTTTTATTACCAATAGTGAAATTTGTATAGCATTTTATCTTTAAAGTGTTGTTAAATGTATATATGTGTCAGTTGTGTATATATCAATGCACATTACCAGAAAAGAACATCTGTAAAATCGGCTACCATATGATGGGTATCCATCATAACCTATTTTACTTGTACACAATTACAAATATATTATTATTATATATTGTATTTTTAAGTATTGCATGATTGTATTAAACTCTATTTCAGCCAAAAATTGACGCCGGTTGAGAATGGACATCTGTAATGCCGCCCTGAGATTTGGACCTTATTGGATTTCACTGTAGATGACCTTCACCAAGTATGTGTTTATACTGTCATTACATGGCGGGCAGGGTTAGATAACTTTTGTTAGCTTGGGGATATCAAGGTATCTGTGTTTGTTGAGAACTTTATACCAATAAAAGCCACTGACCGTTGACCCTTTGACCGCACGTGGTAAATATAGATTGCGTCATCGGTGATTTCTACCCTTTGTTAGCAAGATGTGTAATAAACATCCGATCAAATTTAAGGACTATTTTTAGACGCGTATGTAAACAGTGCACGGAAAATGTCCCTTTCTCTCAACATGGTATATTTGTACTTATTCACAACTGGCCCGTGAAATCGAACAATGGTCCATTTTACATTCCTTTCAAATGAACACTAAATAGAAAACCTTTAACAAAAACCACTGATCACAACAAAAACGAATTGTTCTGGAAAAATAAACAAATATTTGACAAAACTTCCTGAAAGTACGACGTATTTCCGGTGTTTTAACTTACACATCAAACGGAACTATGTCATTGCGAAGCTTGAAAGGGGTACACCAACTCCTTAACATATTTCAATTAATAATGAAGAAATTAACTACAATATATTTCAATCCAAAACAAGAAATCATCAATCGCTTTTCGAAGAATCCAAATGTACTGGAAGTGCAAACAATGGTAAAGGCCTTGGTTATAAGATTACGATCTAAATATCTGGACTGACATTGTTAACCGAGACGGCAATCTATGTATTAACGTTTTAGATAATCTTAACGTGTCATTTAACTTGGGGAAACATGAACCGTGGAAACGGTTAAATGTATCTTGAAATGATTGAGTATTCAAACGATTTGGTGATGATCATATTTAATTTACACTCAACGTAATAACATACAAAACATCTTTGGCCATGCGATTTGACTTACTCAGACATAGTTGGTTAGACTCGCAATCTCTGTTGTATCATAACATATCTGGTCTGCGTCACTTCCTGTAAAGTCAGTATTCATGTATCCATTGCATCGTTTCGTATCAATGATCAGCGTCTGTATGATTTTGGGTTATTTCTATCTCGCAGAACGTCATCCGTGTAATAATAAATACATATCGGCACGGGGAGCAATATGCACTTGTTTATTTTGTGAATGTCATCTGTGATAATTGTGGTAAATTATATGATTACACGTGGCAGGCCGGTTCCCACCACTGCCACCGAGCAGACTCTAACATTTCTTATATAATCTAATATACATGCAAGAAAAAGCAGCATAAATGCCAATAAATACGTAATAAACATAATTGGTTCGTCGTCTCGCCATTTGTACCACTTGTGTACATTACAGTCTGGACCCTATCACGCGCTGTACGAGTTATAGCATCCATACTGTCACATATGCGCCACTTTGCATGCATCATATTCTTGAACCGATAATTTATCATTCGATTCATGTACGGTTACATTGACACGTCGCAACTTGTGGCAAGTATTTGTTCTCGTGGTAAAGACTTTCCGCGTTAATACAACATGAATAATCAACAAAGATATAAACATCAAAAACGAGCAGTCTGTGAAAAATAATCAGAATACCCTACCCCCCTAACTCTAACACCAAGCCCACACACACTTCTAAACCAAAATGTCGAGACGAACCCACGTGCTCCGGAATGGTCAGACTTTCTTGATATTTCTCTCGTTGTTACCGATCTCTGACGTCATAAATGGTGGCAGTATAACGAGGGCTTGCGTTATAAATATGATCTTGAAATCAAACTACGTGCTCTGTCGTACCATTCAATATTGTCGACATGAATAGCACTGTCGTACCATTCAATACTGCAGTATTGAATGGTACGACAGTACTAGTCATGTCGGCATTATTGAATGGGACGACAGTGCTAGTCATGTCGACAATACTGAGGGGTACGACAGTGCTATTCATGCCGACAATATTGAATGGTACGTCAGTGCTATTCATGTCGACAGGATTGAATGGTACGACAGTGCTATTCATGCCGCCAATATTGAATGGTACGACACTGCTAGTCATGTCGACAATATTGAATGGTACGATAGTGCTATTCATGTCGACACTATTGAATGGTACGACACTGCTAGTCATGTCGACAATACTGAGGGGTACGACAGTGCTATTCATGTTGACAATACTGAATGGTACGAACGTGCTATTCATGTCGACAGTATTGAATGGTACGCCAGTGCTATTCATGTCGACATGACTAGCACTGTCGTCCCATTCAATAATGCCGACATGACTAGTACTGTCGTACCATTCAATAATGCCGACATGAATAGCCCTGTCGTACCATTCAATAATTCCGACATGAATAGCACTGTCATATCATTCAATATTGTCGACATGAAAAGCACTGTCGTACCATCAAATAATGCCGACATGAATAGCCCTGTCGTACCATTCAATAATTCCGACATGAATAGCACTGTCGGACCATTCAATATTGTCGACATGAACAGCACTGTCGTACCATTCATTAATGCCGACATGAATAGCACTGGCGTACCATTCCATACTGTCGACATGAATAGCACGTTCGTACCATTCAGTATTGTCAACATGAATAGCACTGTCGTTCCACTCAGTATTGTCGACATGACTAGCACTGTCGTCCCATTCAATATTGTCGATTTGAATAGCACTGTCGTACCATCAAATAATGCCGACATGAATAGCACTGTCATATCATTCAATATTGTCGACATGAATAGCACTGTCGTACCACTCAGTATTGTCGACATGACTAGCACTGTCGTACCATTCAATATTGTCGACATGAATAGCACTGTCGTACCATTCAATAATGCCGACATGAATAGCACTGTCGTACCATTCAATACTGTCGACATGAATAGCACTGTCGTACCATTCAGTATTGTCGAAATGAATAGACAATCTGGTTATTTTGCACTACTTGTGGGTAGTACAATCTGCATAATAAAAGAACTGTACATGTCCGCGCATGACTGTACTCTCTAAACCATATCTTAGTTAAAAAAATGAGGTGATGAATCGAACGCGAGTAGTATCGGGATACACGAGTTATTTATCAGATAACGTCTAATTTTCATTACAAGGTACATAAAACAATCTAGATAGAGAATATCGCTACGTACATTTATAGCAAATTTGATTTTTCAAACCAACATACCCTGTCTCCTACATACACAAACACAAGCACGCATACACTACACACATGGAGGCACGTCCTTAAATGACCTTAACTGTTAATAGGACGTTAAACAAAATTAAACCAAACAAATCAAATCAATCTGACGTTTCAACATTTACGCGGAACGTTATCAGAATGTAAACGGTCATACGGTGACTCGTTTATATTTCAAATACTAAACTTACTTGCAACTTAGGCAACATTTCAGTGAGATTGTACTATAAAACAACTTAGTTTCTACATTAAATCTGATCAAGAAACTTATTCCTATGACAAACGCAGTGTTTTGTTTTTCTTATTCGGCATACACATTATCAATATAATATTGTTCTTTAAGAAATATCTGAAGTGGAGTTGGGCACTAGTTTTTACAGATGAAATACACATCGCCTTTTTTCTGTCATTTATTAGGAAACATCTTGCTTCAGGAAATCCATGTACGTATACAGTAAGATGGATTTCACTAATTACCTGCACAGGTAAGCACAGATGTTGGGTGTCTTATCTTGTTGTAGTAATACAGTTGGTGAAATATTTAATAGATTGTAACACAATCTAATTATTGTTAGCAGGCTTAAAGACCTGTACCAAACAAGACACATTTTGTGCATAATTTCGGCGACACTTGCGCCGTCCTCGACATGTTTGGTTCGGTAGGGTTGTATCGACTCTTGTTGATTATCATTTGACCTTAATGTTTCATTTTGACATAGGACCAAAAACAGCAATCCCAAGCACTAAGGTCATGGGTCATGATCGAAAAATAAGGGTTGTAGTGTTAGTGTACTTCCGGTTTAACGTATGTTACATGAGCAACTTCCCTTCAGACACGTGGTTTTAATACTCTATTGGGATAAATAAGGGGCTTGTTATGGAAGTTTAGGGGTAGTAGTATGACTTATTCTATATATAGGGATTGAACGGGAATTTCAACATTCACGCTGGTATGAACGCAAATCGCATTACATATGCAACCAATGTGTCTTTACACTGAATATAAATATTCTGTAACAATTTCGGTATTGACGTTATTGTAACATTTGTGCAAACGCGAATCATGGATCAGCCAAATGTCACATTATGACGGTCTCCAGTTATACGACGATGGAGGAGAAGCGTCAAAATGACGCTGACCCAACTACCTTTATAGTCCTATGAATGCACTTTCTATCGGTAGTGTTATAAAGAGACATGGAGCGGAAATGTGAAAATCATTCTAGTCTCACACTTGTCACACGTGCTAAACGTGTCTGATACGTTTATATCATCTTACTAGAATGCTTTCATAACACTCGACATTATTTTTCAAAACCGATTGTTTTTTTTAGTAATTTCCGTGCAGCAGACGGCAAACATCTGTAAACTTGTTGTTGTTATTTTGTCCGAAATCTTCTCTGTATAATTTGTGTTACCTGCGGGCCTGGCGGCAAATCGCTATTATTTATACGTGAAAGGACAAAGAGTACATACATGAATATGTTATCTGGCCTCAGGCACAACGAAGCACGTGTAACATATCAAAGTTTGCAACATTTAGCGGTCCTACTCAGCACTTACTAATCACGTTTTCTTCCAAAAGGACCTATATATATCCCGTGAATGTCAAATACGAAGTTATTGTGGGTAGGGCTTCAATGGAAATATTTTATCAGATTGTGTATAATTTAGGGTCCTCTGTATAAAACCACTGTTTAAAACGTTCACTGAACTGTCAGAACCATGACTAAGAAATCATAATGATATTTTTTATGTTTGCTCTCGCAGTTTCGGAGGAACTCATCACGTAAACAAAAACAACCAGGCCATTATTTTTTTAAAGATAATAGATGTGTTGGATCGTGTTGTCTTCATACGGGACACACCACTCAGGTCTCTTATCAGTTGCTTGGTGTGAACAGATAAACATTTTCCATAAGAGATAAATGGACAAAACTAAACCTCATGTGACGTCATGACCTTAAAGTGTAAACTTTCAAATGTTACAACCGGATACTTTTATCCACACAAAAGATCAAACCTAATGCGGCATCCTGCATATAATTGGAAAATGTAACAGAAATAAAACAATGACAAAATCTATTGTAAATAGCACGAACAAGAACTTCTTTTTAAAAATGGATGCATTTCCGTTTCCGGTAAATCCGTAAAATTCCTCTTAGTGCGAGTTCTGTAGCTATACTTGTATGTCCAGTAATCACAAACTTCCATCAATCACTGGTCAATATCCTTGACCTGTCGGACAACATCATAATTCACATTCCTGGGACCAGTTGTCATAACAATATCATCTACGTTCAGTAATGTACAGATCAGGTCATGTGGTCAGGTTAGGACAGCACATTCGGAACCCCCTTTACCTGTATATTCCATTCGGAACCCCATTTACCTGTACATTCCATTCGGAACCCCCTTCACCTGTAATTCCATTCGGCACGTTATCTAGTACTGTACAGGCTCCCTGATGTTAATTCGTATTGTTGAAGCATGAAGAATTGAATGAATCAAGGGAACAAAAGGGATAAAATGAGGCAATCGCACTTCTTTATGGTTCCTATCCTTCATTTAAAGACAACATTTAATGTATAAAGTAAACTGGGCCAGCAGTTGCTGTGTAAGGACCTAATGACAAATGTAAACATGTGTATGATAGTTGTTTCCGGTCCAATATCGTGTTCACATTAACAAACATGCTGACATGGAGATTGGTATCTACAGTACATGGGTCTTTATGTGAAATTTAAATATAAAGTACTTAGGAAACTAGGTTTGCTATCAACTTCTATAGAACACACTTCGAATCTTGTATTCGTTCACATCCACACCTAGATAGACTGAGGCAAGTTCGATCAAACCTTTAATTATTTCGCTATATATAGCTCATTGGATACCCCGGAGAAAGGAACGGGCTGTAGTGATATTGATGAATGGTTCGTTTTAAGTATCAACAACCGGTGACAAAGACACAGGCTTCTAAGCTGGATAAAATATAGATAAGACCTCTGTCGTTGAGATTTTCTAATGTTGGTATTTCAAAAATGTATCTCTGAAAATACTTTTGAAGTTAAATCGGTGGTGTGGTCATTAACAAAGACACAAAACAATACAACATTTTGATGCTTTTTAACTGATTTTACGCTCCAGAATGTCACGCTCGCTAAGGTCATACACACACAACTGATGCAGCATAAGTGACATGGCCGTCTTCATCTGGAATATTTCCTTGTCATATATTGAAAGAGTTTAAATAAACGAGGTAAAGTTGTGAGTCTATGACAATAGAAGCTTTCAACTCCGTGACAGCTACATTATGTAAATTTTATTTCCCACATTATGAATATACTATTACTATGCAAGTCTGTCTGGTATATAAGGCAGATGTTCGGTGTTACCATAATGTAATATGTTTAATCTTCATTTTATCTCGAACTTATCTAGAGAGATAGACAGTTCCCGTGTTCGATACAATCTTAATACATGTAAATATTATAGAACACATACGCTATAGACAATTCGTTTCTTTATATTATACGTTTAAACCGAAACTTACCCGTCACCCATGTTGTTTAGTGGTCAATGTGTGGTCAGCCGGGATACTCCGGCCTTCTGCCCGAGTGTGTGTGGGTGTTCTTGCTCTGGTCAAAACTTGACGAACGCGCGAATGGCGTTTCCGTAGTCTGAGATAAAACTCTGTTTGACCTAGATCATTAGGACTTCTCGCGCCATAGCAGATCTATCCAATGTCAGCGGTATCTTCGGATAGAGCTAGGTGGACCACGTTAGGGTTAACTTAGACCACAATCCGGGTCGGGACACTCGTTCACAAATATGTCTTACAAATAGTCTAGTGACACACGATCTGGCAAAAGTGGCTAGGAGGGGTTGACTTCCTACGCGTTGTGTCAACAGATGTGTGACACATAGCTAAGTGTATGCGTGTGGAAGTAGTGTGGATATCACATGGTGACCTTTAATGATATTTTCGTGAAAACTGCATTGAGCTACGATCGAGACAAACTATATATTACAATAAACGTTTTATAAACAATATTAACATGTATGTGTGTTTGAACCGTGTAGGAATTATGTATGGGCGGATCTAGTTCTGTCAATTTTGACAAATTAAGTGTGTTTTTGAGAGCGTATAATAAATCGGTAGCGATATCGTCAATTTAATGTTTGTATTTTTAAGGAGACATAATTTCTTTCCTTACGTTTGTTCCCGTGTAAACAAATAATGCTCGGTACGCCATTTCTTTGGGTAATACATTGAAGCGCAGACATGTGTATTGACTGTAGAAACTGTTTTTCGTTCATTTATTGAACATTTATAAATTTAAATTGTTGATCAATCTGTTTTAAAGGTATACAAATGTCACTGGTTTTAATGGACTTTCTACATAAAATGTTTATGGCTTTTCATTCTCAGCCAGGCATGTCTACCGTGGCCTCACAAACTAAGTTTTAAAGCCTAAAATGTTTGTTCTATTAGAAACACTCAGTGAAGGATCTGAAGTACAAGTGCACGAGCACGAAGATTTTTACAGTGTATGTTTCAATCTAATAATGTTTAAACGAAAGTAAACCTACTTTCATTCCTTTTTTCGGTTGAGCGCTATAATACAGTAACTTCGTTTGTAATTGTTCAAATCAGTGAACTAAAATAATATCGCTGTAGCTTTTCAACCTCGTTATGTCTAAGGAATTTTACTTAGTTATTTGAAGCAAACACACGGAACCCAGAAATATCGAGTTATAAAATGTTCTAGATATTCATACCAATATCTACGCTTCCTTTTTTCGAAACTGAAATTTCTAAAAAAGAAACTCGACATAAATGGAGTCTACGGTGTCCGTAATATCGAAGTTATCTGAAACCTCGTATCTACAACATTCCCTTTGTCATACGCGGCTGTTTGACGTCATACGTGGGTGGGGGGAATCACACACACACACACACACAGCGGGGTTTTGACCACGCCCATCAGCAGCATATGAATCAGGATAACCCCATACGATTTAAATTTCATTCATAAATGAATTAAATCGGGCCATACTAGATATGAAGTAGACGATATCAATGCGCTAGTCTACATTATACGTAATGTAATCGGAGATATTGTATATCAAATTCCTGCTCCCCAGCAATACTCTAAACACAGCAGTCAGTAATAATTAAATTTCCGGAACGGTGGTGGTTTAAAGGGACTTTATGGGGGAGGGGGATGGGTCTTCAAACCACAACGTAAGGTTTCGTTAACAAGACATATGTCAATAAATGTGCTCCATATTAAGGGAGAAGTGATATATTGGCTAGACTGACAACTGTCGGGGAACGACTGGCTTGATCAAATTTAGTCTGAAAACTAATAATAGCGAGAATAGGGACGACCAGACGTTCTCTACATAAATTATATTTATTTTAATGGATTATTTTTTTTCTTATTACGTAAGTTATTCTATAGAAAATGACAAAAGTTATAACTTATGAACAGCTCCATGTCCATTTTATCAGAGACAAGTTTGAAGTGATCACGTGTTTGTCTAGGTTTATGTTCTTTATCCAATTGAAAGGAGTTGGCTATATCTTTTATTCAAATACAATGTCTATTTTGCTCGTTTAGAGGACAACGAAATCAGAAATGATCCCTTGTCGATTTTTCATGTATATATATATATATTTATATTTATACTTTTATATGAAAGCCATAGCATCACAAACAATGGTGACTTTTCCTCGTAAATTTCTTCCTCACTTTCTGTGATTGTAGACTTATTATATTTAATAGCAAAAACTTGTTGCGCAGTGGAGGCTGTAAGAAAACACGATATAGCCTCGTCTTCGGATTGGAAATCTTTCGCGCGGGTAAAATGAAAGGGAGTGTAAAAGCTAGACCCTAACTTTTATTAAAACTGTTCTCACTGTACCTTTTTCTATGCTAGCGTGCAGATAGATGTTCTGTAAAATAAGTTGCCATTATGATGTATCATATGTCAATATCTGGAGGAAAGGGAACATGACTAGTTGCGCGATTTCACAGACGGCTAAACACTGTAACTCCATACTCGGCCACATTTATCAAATATGTCATAATATAAATCCGACTGGCCCATGAGCTTAGGTTTCAATTCTCTAATTCAGCTTACGGCGAACCCCCAAATATTTGTGATATATTTACATCGCTCCCCTGTTCAGCTTATTAAACTCTGTCTATATACCCGTCTAGGAACATATTTGGGGATTCCATTATGTCCTTTTATGCAACAAAGTGATGCTTGCAAACTTCTTATTCCATGGATGCACATTCAAATTTTTTTGACGTTAACGTTTTTAAACATTCGACCGCGTCACTCCACGAGCAGTGTGCCAATGCGCGTACATGCCGATCGTTATAATCTCACACGCGCAACACAGAATATGTTCTTTGCCAACTGCGTTCATACTACCGTATACGCCGTCAAAATGAAGGTCAATCCTTATATGGAATCTTTTGTTCATGACATTAAATTATAACCGTTGTTAAAACTTCAATCATTGAAGTGCCTAAATTGGTGCTGGTCTGAAATAATTACATATCTATTTAACTTATTGCTATAAACAACTAAGTGTGTATCATAGTAGTATCTTATGTAATCTTCAGTGTTTTTGAAGCCTATTTTTTATGTGGTCGAGTAATAAATGTTAGCGTCAAGATAAGCTATACGTCAGCGATTCTCATCCTCCATTTACTGGGCAAATAGCCAACTACCTGAAAAGCGCCTATGGTTACGATAATATAATATGTACAAATTCATACCCACATTATAAATGTTAATTGGGGCTACAACAGACAGTTTGAAGCTAAATGTTGTCATGTTATTTGAACGTTGGAATGCATTTATATATTGTAGATGGTACTTTTCTGTAACACCGGGCACCTGTTTCACTGATGGCATCACCATGACGTCACGTCACTTCGAGCGTCAGGTTACTGAAATGAAAAGATCATGAGCGAAGAATGCACAAGTTATTCCAATTGCTGACGACACGTTTTGTAGAATTAAAAGTATCGTCCTCAGAGTTGTTGTCACAGATTATAATAAAAAAAAACTTGGCTGCTTTGAAGATGTAAACCAAGCATACTCATGTCAAACGGATTCCAGAAAGAGTGATGCCATTTTGTTGAAATGTTCTGGCGTACAACACCAGCGTAATATGGGCGACCATTTCTAGACCAGCGCTCGGCACCAACACTTCCTTGCTGGAACGGTTTGTCTAAATTCCTGTACCTCCTTCATCCACAGCTCCTGTGTTTGTTCCGTGACCATCTTTTGTTTAGGTTCCGTATCTATTTACTTTTACTAGACTCATTACATTACACCCAGAAATATAGTTAATTCATCCGGGAACTATTTTTGTGTGTGTAAAAACAGTAAGTTTTACCAAACTTTTATTTTAAAAGGAGGCAAGTTGACAAGCATTTTATATAGGTAAACAAGTAAAACACTTATCTTTGAATGATGGTAAGAAAAAGACTAGATACGATTCGGTTCCCACCATTTCCCGTTCTGTCTCTGTATGCAGCCACTTAGACATGCAGATATAGGTAAAACAGTGTACCTGTCGCTGGTCTCTGTAATCAATCTTCTTGACGTTCAGTCTCATTAATAAATCAAACGGTCGCACGTCTCACTTGGACACGTGAATAGTATATGTTATCAAGTTTCCATCAAGCGTCAATTAAAATGGTCTTCTCCCGTCACTGTTTTCGTTTCTGTTGGTTGACGCATGTTTTCTTTTCTGATATGGAAATGTAATTTTATTAAGTAATTAAGTTTGTTTTTGACTATAAGTAGTGCAAACTAAATGCAACCTGTCACTAATTCACTGTCCCATCCGAACACTCGAAACTCTATGGTATAACAATCTGATTAAAATCATGTTACATGGCTTCGTTAACTTCGTACTACACCTGATTTGCGGAGCCATGTAACAGATGATTTTAATCAGACTGATGGTATAATGTTGTAGTCTAAATCTCGTCGTAAAGGCATGCACAGGGACATGTCACATACTATATAACTGGAGCTGTATGTGTGTAAATGGACGTCACAGTTTACCACTGTATATATACCGTGACACCCTCCAATACGTACTTCATTATGTGACGTCCCTGTGGCTAAGACACCACACCGTTAAAATAGATTTTTGATCTCGTTAAAAATTGATGTATGTCTCTTTTTTCGATTTCGCCCACGATACATTTACCCCCGTCCCACCCCCAAACTACAAGTGATTGATGGGAGAAGCTATGCCGGTACATCAATATCACTAGGTCACTGAATTGTCACAGATTTGTTGACTTCCGTGTTGTATTATGTCTTTTGTCAAACTATCCTGTGTGTTTCCACGTTTTTCATCTTTTGAGAAAGAAAACTCCTCCATGCTATTATTGATAATTGCAGAATGCCGAGTATGCCTTATGGACCCTTTTTTGTTTATTTATCACACCTTTGCGATATGTATTGAGGTCACATGATCACTGCTGTGTAACATAAACCTATAAATAGCACCACACTTAAAAATTTGAAAACAAAACACTGCTGGTTCTGAAAAATCACGAAACCATTCAATGACATTTTAAATATTTTTTATTTGTTATTTATGGCAATGTTTACAACTAGCAGCCCTTCTCCTTCACACAAGGACTTTGTACAGCAGACGGACGAAGGACAGACAGTTTGGCGGACATGTTCTCGGCCAGACCGACAGTAATAATAATGCTGACATTTACTGGGAAATCTCGCATAAACGTGAGAAGCATAATAAAACTCATAGTTTTGTTTTATGTAGTTTTCCATGTACTCATATAACATCCAGCTGGTAGACTGGATTTTAACCCTTTCAACACTGTAGACCATAATGGACTCATCCATATCAATTGATGGTAGAGGTTATTAAAGTTACATAGGGGTGAAAGGGTTAACACAATAAGTTCTCTGTACACCATGCCTATATACATTTATGGTACCTAAAAAAGCATATTTTTGTGCATAAATTACAGTGAAAAACTTAAATACAAATGTTTATTTCTTCCAATATAAACCGATCATTTTCAAATAATTATATGAACGTCTCTGAAACACCATGGGTTTCTAAAATCTTCTTTAAAACAACTCGACTGTGAAAGTTTTCTTTTAGGAACATTTAGTATGTTTTCTTTGCCTTCGCTTTGATCAGAAAACGTATTTAGTGTTAGAGTAAAATACAAAATGCATTTGAAATAGTATCTCGTACAAGGTGTTCCGAGTAAAATACAAAATGCTGATGAAATAGCACCCGGAATACAAGACAGCAATTTTAAGTAGCAGCATCTTACAAGTGTCCAGACAGTGGAATGCTTCTTAGTATAAACATTGTTACAAGTACAATCAGTATCATGTTATACAGCTTTTGTTAAGTATTTACATGATATAAGTTTCCATGGCCGTTATATGTATCCTAACAGAAAATAGGCTTAAACTATTTAAACGAATCAATAATATTCATTTCTATACACCTCTAGGCCTAATGAGTCGGCACAGCAATGAATGAGATCAAAATATGAAGTTTTTAAGTATGAAATGTTTCTTTGTTCGTACTGGCAAGATACAACAATGAACACAGTTATAAGGTGAATTAGTTATAATAGTTTTTGTAACATTTCTACATTTTTTTGTAAATTTTTCAATTTCAATATTTACAGACAAAATTTGGTTATCTTTGCGTGGTTCTACCGTAAAAACTATATATAAGGATTGACCTAGATACACAGGTTAAATAGATGTAAATTATGGTCCAGCTACGGTCAGAAGTCTTCTTCGGATTCCCGTATAATCACAATATGATAAAGTAAATCACAAAATATACATCACTAATTTGTTTATTCTTCAGACACCTGACAAAGAAATTCCGAAGACCAATCTAATAAACTAAAAATAACTATACACAAATGGAAGACGTGTGTAATTTTGTGTTAAATTCAACAAGAAAAAAAGTTATAAAATATATATATCTAATGCAGATTGTATTCAAGATAAACAATGTACATAAGTATTTACATAAAGGCACGTTATGGCAGCCATTTGGGCAAATAATGCTGCAAAATCGATGAAAATGAGTATATGAATATGAACAGGAATGGAAATATCGACGTCAAAAGTATTTTTTTCTACTATATTTCTTAATAAAAGCATGTATTTCAAACTTAGAAACAAACACAAAGATTTTGTTTATTGTTATATTCCATTTATAAACAGGCCTGTAGTTGTTATCTTTACGAAAAATACTTTTATACTAAATTACCTGCCCTTACTTTTACTTGTTTATTTCCGGTGATCAATTATAGGCCAGTGACGACTGACTTATATTTTCATTTAATAGGTGGAATAGTCACAACCGTCATTTTTGGCGATACAAACACATGCTGACTTGACAAACATGGCCTCTTAGCCTCAAACCAATCAAAGCTGTGGACTGTACAAGTTCAGCAGCAAAACTGTGATTTTTTATATTTGCATATAAATGCACAAAAATGTTTGCATGATTTTGATAATCCATTCATCGTTTAAATGCCGCACGAAACTCTTTTATAACAAAAATAGTTAACAATTTCACAATGTATTAACATTTTAACTTGGTTTTAACGAGCAATGCTGTGATTTACAAACCTTGACCTTTTGGTACAGTTATACATTCAAGTTCGTTAATAAAACGCTGACAAGTTCTAAAATCGATACATTAAATTATGTTCAAGCAAAAGCTCTCAAACGAATCAACCGCACAAAGCAAAAGCTTCCCAGATGATAACGACATACCAGTCACCCAGGCAAGATTCACGCACTTTGCACCTCCAATGTGACCTGGAGGTAGGGTAATGCAGAGGGCGCCACCAGTAACTACCAAACACTCACCCCCGCTTCAACATAAGCTTGTTTTATTTTCTCTTACTTATATTTCGAAATCTTNCCCCCCCAAATAGAAGTAACCGCATACGAACATAATTCGTAAAACATAGGGATTTTATATATAAATTTCAAAAACGTAATTTTGATTATTTTTAATACAATCGATAATCTAATCAAGCTTTGAAGAAATTGGGTCTGGGGAGTTACCGGAAACCCTACTATACTACCGATACCTGCTGCCACACCGGTCCGTCTGCTGTTTTTCCCGCCTATTTATAAAAAAAAAAACTGTCACGTGATAGTCACGTGTCACTTGACGTCGTCAGTGTTGCAGCATGGACATTGTCATGTCAACGGTTCTTTCTCTTTTGCGTCGTCGAAATTGTTCTCGGTCGGTTCCAATTCGTTCTTCTTTGTACTCTGTTTCTCTTTGAAAATTTTCCAGAGGTCACGCACGAGGTCGGTGACTACAATGTCCGTGGAGTTTTTCGCGACCAATCGGAGTACAAATACACCGTCGTCACGGAGATAATTCTCAGCGAATCGTGTGCACATTTTCTTGTCAAAGTTGGTATGAAGTTCGTTGTTGATTTTAAGATATTTCTTTATGTAATCGATTTTGTTCTTAGCAAAGACGATGAGGTACAACCATCGGAAGAGATTGATACAAGCGAGAACCGCGATGAAGATGAGCCAGAACCAGATAAATATGAAGACCTTTTCGTTGAACAGATTGATTGGGAGCACACACTGCACTGTGAACCTCTGGATGTTCTGAAGCTGGCGGATCTGGAAATCACATAGAGTGACCCTCGGAAAGCGAGGGGATTCTCTCCATGGACGATCCGAATTGAGATTATCCAGAAATTCGAATCCATAGAAGTTAAAAGACGTCGACATGAAGGCGTTGAGTAGGAAAAGCTGACCGATGGCGTTAGCCACATATAAGACTTTGACAAACAAGTACATCGCCGTCAAATACTTCCCGGCCCGCTTGTTGCAAAAGAAGCACATGAACCGGGATATCTGGTGCTTGGTCCGAACTACGACATTCCATCTGTGTTCTTTATTAGAGTCCAGCCACTTGTCCATAAACCTGGCCAGACTGTTGATAGTGTCGTCACGGTCAGCGGGACTGACCAACTGTGTCTTCTCTGCAAATCGTACAACTTTGTCCAGATTTAATCCAGATCCACCATTAAAAATCCTCCATATCATGTTGGGGAACTTGAAGAGGAACGCTTGGAATAAAAGTATCAACGGTACCCATTGATAATATGTAATTTCCGCTTCCTGTCTGTCCGAAATGTCTTCTGGGATAATGTCACTCATTGGGACATAGTACGTGTTTTTAACCCAACAGTTCCACTTTGTATACGACTCCATCGAGTCCTTGAACTCTGCAGGATGCCAGCATTGTATCGGGTCTTTGAAGAATTGGCCTGAACTGACCAACACTGTGAAGATCACCAAGACTACCACAGTATACACGTGACTCATTCGGTCTATCCAATCATCGTTCGGCTTCCCCCGAAGTTTCGAAAAACTTGGGACGAATCCCAGTAGTTCCGACATCCTGGAAAGACAAAAATAAATAACGGTCAGAGTTCAATTCCTGTTCAAAGGTATTGTCGAAACAACAAGATTAAAAGCAGGTTAGCACGTCTAGCACGGCTTCGGGAAAGACCGACGTCACAATAACAGAACACGTGACGTGTACAAAAAATAATGTCACATGACACTCCACATGTTGGGTTTTCTTTTTACCACCTACAAAAATACGTTCTTGATTAACCTTCCCTGACGACGTTAACCCCAAGGTGTATCACAAAACAAGTGGTCGTATTAGTTGTGGTGAATGGCCACGTGCTATAACGCGCATGGACTCACGCGCCGCATAAACGCAGCAGCTTGAGGATTCTTTGGAATTCGCAGGAAAAAGAGACCTAGCTGCACCGGTATGTGTGGGGATTTTTCACACGTGCTTCACTTACATCGTCATATAATTGGATATGATATCAAAAAGCAACAAGAAAATAGTGTAAACACGAGGTGTATTTGTACCTCACCCACAGATACAATTATCATTCAAATCAAGTAAGAAAACTGCTATAACATATCTTATATCATGCAAAGATATACGATGCTTGGAAATATGTTATTTACAATTTATACTTTTACACTGGAATCGAGGAATTCAGTACCTTAACCGGTAGTCATGCTACTCTTCGCGATTGATAATGCTTCGAAAACACTTGGTCTACAGGAATCTTTGTTCAGCAACTTTTTCATGAAGGTATCGTTTTAACCATTTCTGAATAATTATAATCTTTTTAACAATGTGTTATCATTTGTGTCAATTAAGTGCTTGTGGTTTTTTTTTACATATGAAAGAAAGTTTTTTATTCTTCAATAAAATGTGACAAAATTTATAACATATTATAATATGGGTGACTTTATCTGGTTTAAGATATTGTCAATTTCTCTCTGGGGGTCAAAGTGTCCCATTAGGGAAAGGGGTAAGATATCTGTGTGGAGATAGACCAGTTCATAAACGAAATATTCATGGGAACTTTATGGTTTTCAATTACAACCTGTTATATTACGTTGAGTTGAGACAGGTTTTCTCTCCCAGGCGATTTACCGACTCATAAAAGGGCACTATCAACATAGGTAGAATTCACATCTTCTGTAGGACTCTGACCTACATAGATTACAAGTCAAATACACCCGGACTACCTGTTACACATACTAGATAGAGGTCAAAACAACAGATGAACTTTGACCTTAAAGATGGTGTTTACAGCATGGTTACGCATTTAACCTCAAAACCGCGTTATTATCATCGTTACAATAGACTTTGACCTAAAACGTGGCTTTGGGATTTCGTTACGCAAGATATTTGGTGACAATACTTGTCTCCGTCGGAATTATTTATGTCGTTAAAGTGAGATTACCGATGTTGTGGGACTAAACCGGACTAACACAGCTGTAAACCCGAGCTCCAATCGACACGGAAACCCCAGTTATAGTGTCGCATCTAGTTACCAAGTTACTTTTGTGGACTCCGAGTATAAGGCGTAGACCCACAAGGGAGGTCCGGATAGGCCGTCACATCTATCGTCAACTCGTTCTGTGGAATGACACTGAACATATAATTATAGCACCCGGTATATGAAATCGAAACGACGCTTCGATTTTCCCGTTTTGTTTTAGTTAATTGAAATATCACCACCAAAAGAGAAAACCCCTTTCGATAAATATTTTGAGTCGATTATTCCGAGATTATCGAATAAATATATTTCCGTTGATTTTAAATATACTTATAGAATATTCAATACAAATATTTAGAGAAATAATTTATGGATCGGAAGTGCTGATTCTAGTGTCACGGTCATTAAAACCGACCAACCAGGAAGTTAGACGGCGTGTACTTTGAATATTTGCTTGGGAGACACGAAACACAGAGATGTGTACATATAAGCACTTGTGTAATAATGATCCGTACTCAAAAGTGAACCACTTACACGTTATCTTAATTGTTGTATTATCATTGTGTAATAAAACCTGAGATTAATACTGAAAAAATACACTTTCCTGTTTTTATTAACTCCGTATAACAATATCGCGTCCTTTGATTTCGGGGAATCGTATGTTCCAAAAAGACCGTTGGCTTTAGTACTTTTGATCATAGACGTTTTCTTAAGAGATTTTGTTCAGTTTGGTTATTTAAGCATAGCATTATCGAATACCACATTAGATATCCTGTGCTATGGGTCTGTGGTTGTATATAAGCCGCATCTTATACAAACACACATAATCTGCTAAGCATATTTGCAACATACCGAGCAACGCTATTGTCAACAGTAATTATCTCGTCATACCATGTTCATCGAAATTAGAGCTGGCAATGGACGTCGCTAACAACATTACAAAATGCAACAGGTTGTCATCGCTTATATCACAGCAGAGAACCCCGAAGGCCGCCTACGTTTATGACAAAATGGTGTGATGTTTCCTACATAAATGTTGCATTTGTAGTTCTTCTGGCGAAGTTATGACGCCGAGAAAGCGATCGTATCGGGAAATAAATAAGGTGTTTTCGTAACAATTATCAAGAAATGTGGACGTGTTGTGCGTTACGTCACGTTTCTGAGCGATGTCGGAATGCATGTCCTTTAAGTTATAGCGGCATAGATTGCAGAACTTCAAAAATACGAAAAGGTCGACTATGTTACACCGATTTATTTGTTTATTTATTAATGTTCAGCAGATAGCGAAAGGGAGATAATATAACAGATGTAGAAGGAACCTTCCTAACTCTAATTAGAACGAGACAGCGCCTGGGGGTGTTTAAATCCGATTCGTGACTAACAGGTTGCTAGGCAACCGGTGAGCGATGTGTGACGTAATTCCATTACCGACAAACGTGCTGGAAACTGTTAAGTCCTATCGCCTTTATAACTCAGAAACTCACGAATGTATACTAATAAAGGCAGCCCTTTGATACTTGTTACGATACCCCGGGGGACATACGAAACCACCCGGGCCGTGGCCATAAAACTGACAAACTTGCAGAGTTTAACGAACGTACTGCGGTGTAAAATTGCAACAAACCGCTCGAAATCGTCATATCAAATATTCATTATAATTCTTTTCAAAGTGTTATATATAATAGCTTTAATTCTGCTTGCCTGTTAACGAAAAAAATGAATTCAGTCGTATCTTTTAAATAAAATTAATGCCTCTCAGTAAATCATCGGCTCTACAATATCCAATTGTATTGTTCAACCATTGGCCACACGCTAACCGAATTGGATAGTTCTAATTTTAACCGACATGATGTAGATGGCTGATCATACATTCAGCTGTTACGGGCCGGGTGGTGTAAGTTTTCAGATAAACCCGGGTACAAACAGGTATTGGTAGGGAGCAAATGGCTAACGTTCTAACTATAAACAGATGATGTGCCGCTCGTTCCACCCGAATGGTATTTTAGGGCACGACATTGTTTGTTTAGTCATGTGTAAAAAAATAAGTATTTCTGCACAAATTCACATCATTATGTGAACAGTCATCATACGACTACAGCGAATAACAATGGCCGTATCTCGGGCGAAACAGAGCATATATATATAGTGTCAAGTTTCATTCGAACTTCAGGCCATTGGCTCATTAGTGTACAATACATGTTATACACAAATCATGGGCAATGTACAGATAATGAAGACAATCATATTCCATTATAATACCCTTAGTTTGTTTGCCTCATAGATGAATTTTCCTAGTATACACAATTCTTAAATATTATGGACATTCAATAACTGAACGGCTTTACACACAGATACATATACTATAGTTAGATTAATGATGGAGAAATTGCAGAAAGGGGAAATGTGCCCATAAATTATGATGATCACCATATAGAGTTGTACTATGTGGGTATCAACAGACGTTTGATGTAAATAACAGGCTATTTGACAAATGTATGAAGTCATGACAAATGCCATCAAATGTTTGATAAGGTTGAGAACAGCTGGTCATCAGAAGTTTGATAGAATTGGTTCTAATTGTATATATACTTTAAACGCGATCAAAATTTAGAAAGTTTCATACATTTATAATGTGTATGAGAAGTCACCGAAAATCATGTTACTAAAAATATATATAGTTAGTTTACCCTGTACTTAATGAATTTATTCTTGGGCCTTATTCTATCGTTTTATAAAGAACTTGAGTGTGCAATGTCTAATATATGTGTAAATTGGCTTTATAAAATCGTATCAACTTATCCACTGGCAGGTGAATAATTTTCAAGATAATTTTATCAGAACACTTTATTATATGTACAACAGGTAGGGAATGTCAGTATATAGACATATCTGATGAAATCTGACTCCCGTCTGTACCGAGTTAAATCGTGTATGGGCGAGGGGGAGACAACTCTTCACCACGGAATCGGTAGGCTACTGTACGTTTGTAAAAAATTATAAGACGTTTAAGGGGAAACATGCTTGCAATATAGAACATTTGACAGGTAAGGATACAGAAGAATTACGGAGTATTATTATTATCATAATGAGGGGTATCAGTGTGGGGGGGGGGGGGGGGGAATTAAATGGCATTACTGCATGGTTTGAGTGACCCTGGGGGGTAGGAGGTTACGCCGATCACACCTGCTAAATACAACTGTAAATGACAATAGGCTAATTAGCGCCTTGACAAACAATAAGACACCTTACAAATCAGAACCTTTTCAATGGTTGATTTATATATCGGATTTGTTCTAAAGATATTTTAAGTGACAAACCAAATTGTGGTTTAAAAGAATAAAATCTTGTCTTGTCTTATCTTGTCAAAGTTATCATCAACATCACAAAGTTTTAATGACCAGTTTGGTTAAATGTGAGCTTATTCCGTTGATTAATTAAATGTGACAGACATTTCTGTATATGATATTAATTATTTCACTTCGCAATACATGATGAACTTAAATAATACATGTTGAATTGAAAATTGAAATAAATATTTTTTAGATAAATGTATGAAACATTACTGAAATAAATATATTTTGTATGCTATATATATATATCAATGAATATGGTGCACCGTTGATTTTCTTTTCCAGTGGGATTTTGATAGACGTACAAAAATATAACGTTAGTCTTAGGATCCTACTTTTATCGATTAAAAAGTTAATAAACATCTTTCTGAAGTAACATTTAAGCATTTCGAAAAGGTCTGTCAGTTTATGAAAGAACGGAAAATAATTCAGACTGCAACACATCTTTGTTCATACCAACACAAGCAGAAACACACTGTACGTGTGTAGATGTTGTATACAATTTATATCAAGTGTACCTAAAAGTTTATAACGAGAAAACGACATAGTTTCATTCCATAAAAAACGCCGACATTACAGATGTTCACACACGTAGTTAAATCTTTACGATGCTCGACTTAACAAAATCCACATGGTAGAATATCAACTTTCCCGACCAGGCTACACATATGCATACAACTACAATCTTATAGTTATAAACAAGTTTTAAAAGCGACATGGCGACGGTACCCCCATCTCGCCTGTTACATGTCAACGACGAGGAAAGCAAGAAGTGTACAGACATTAAGGATAATAAATAAATAAGTTCTTAAACTCTTACCTTGATTACTTGTGCCCTTTCTGTATATCCGAAAGTGTCCAAAACTTTCTATCGAAAACAAGTCTACCAGAGGGTTGTCGTATGTACAGCTAGCGAGTTCACGGATCGGTACTCCTTTGGGCTCCGATAAAGGCTAAAGTGTAGTGGGGACAGGGGCCTTCGACGGGGTACCCTAAGAGGTGAAGTAGATATAACATATATATATACACCGTTTCTACCGAAATGGATCGATTTTGGGAAGTCAGAATATTGTTTTTCCGGAAATTTATAATTCGATAAAAAAAAGGTTTATACGTACAAATAATTGTTTTAATGTATATTTGTTGTAATAAATTTTCGCTGGTAAAATTCCTGATGCATACTGTGTAAACTTGGATAATGTCTATATCCGTCTATTGTCTGCTTTGCAACAAAAAAGGTGGTATTTGAAATATTTTAGTGTTTGATTTTATGTTATTCGAAATATATAAATATATATTTTCATCGAATTGCGATCTTCCTGGTTGTTACGACATGTTACAGTCTACTTGTTGACAATTTTATTTCAGTGACGTACTAAAAGGGGGCGTGACAAACACATGGAAAACTACCTGTGTTACAATTCAAAACACTGTCGCTTGTGAAATCGGTATGCGGATTTCAAATGCATAGGATGAGTAAGATGTTGACCACTCCTGAATAGAAATCACAAATGGCGAAGTTTTTTTTACTGTTTAGAAATTGCCAATTATACTTTTATGATAAATTATGAAAAGTAGTTGTTCTCAAAGAAAATATGAAAACAATTTTTTTTATAACTGTGTGACCAAACTGCCACAGATAATCTGATTTAATAAACAATTAGCACCGTGTGCACTGCTTTATTTACGTGTACATGTTATTTATTTAAGGGGTACATAAAAGGTCAATAATGCTTCATTTAATCAGCTTTTGTAAAATTCATGTACCACATAGTTAACAGGAAGAAATTCATTAAGATATGTTAGCATATAAGCCTCGTTCTTCAGCTTCTCCCATTTAACATGCAAACAAGTCTTTGACCCTAACTGGCACGCGCAAAAACCCAGTGATACCCTCTAGAACACGTATAGCCTGTGCATAGTCCGGACTCTAAAACATGCGATTTTAGTCTAAACCACAAATCACGTGACTGTATCAAATACCCTAAAACACGAACATAATCTCTATCGCAGAACTGGCAATACACCATCATTTAGACCCTAGCGTGATTTTGCTTTCTGATCGATAAGATATGCAAGAAATGGAATAATGTCATGAAAATTACTGGGATAATATCATTCAAACCTTAATGATGAAATATCGACGGAAACCCTCGGTAATCCTCGGGGATTCTTCTTTGATATTTCACCCCTCTGGTTTGAATGAACCAGCGGGAAACATACATTTATAAGATTCCCAGCCCCTAAGGGAGCCACACTCTTCCATTTAACAATTAAATTAGTTACAGGTCCAGTGATGTTGCATTTCGAATTTCTGTTGAGATCCTTGTAAATGTGCATATGATCGTGACCCTCGGACAAAGACCCAAAGGACGTAACCGAACCCTGGGCAAATCCTGGTAACATGAATGTATTCGTCTCGCCATGACTAGCAACTGCTTTTATCGTTTAAGAGTTGGGATCTCGTCTTTTTCTTTGTTATGACACGGAGACATATTCGAAAAGAGCGGGAACGGGTCACGGTGCCAATCCTCACGCACAGCTAAGTTTTGTTTTGTTTTATTTTATTTAACATCCTATTAACATCTAAGGTCATTTAAGGACGTGCCTCAATGTGTGTTGTGTAAGCCAGCAAGTGTGTATGTATGCTGGAGACAGCCGGGGAATTTTGGTGTATTTGCCTCCTTGTAATAGTGCGGATCTGATGCTGACTTTATAGTGCTATCTCACTGAAACACCATGCCGAAGGCACCCAACACAGCTAAGTGTGTACGTGATTATAGCGTAGGGTCATGACCCGACACAGCTAAGTGTGTACATGATTATAACGTGGGGTCATGACCCGACACAGCTAAGTGTGTATGTGATTATAACGTAGGGTCAGGACCCGACACAGCTAAGTGTGTACGTGATTATAACGTAGGGTGATGACCCGACACAGCTAAGTGTGTATGTGATTATAACGTAGGGTCATGACCCGACACAGCTGAGTGTGTACGTGATTATAACGTAGGGTCATGACCGATGACTTTGACACAGCTAAGTGCGTACGTGATTATAACGTAAGGTCATGACCCGACACAGCTACGTGTGTACGTGATTATAAGGTAGGGTCATGACCCGACAAAGCTGAGTGTGTACGTGATTATAACGCAGGGTCATGACCAATGACTCTGACACAGCTAAGTGTGTAAGTGATTATAACGTAGGGTCGTGACCAATGACTTTGACACAGCTAGGTGTGTGCGTGATTATAACATAGGGTCATGACCAATGACTTTGACGCAGCTAAGTGTGTGCGTGATAATAACGTAGGGTCATGACCAGTGACTTTGACACAGCTAAGTGGGTACATGATTATAACGTAGGGCCATGACCCGACACAGCTAAATGTGTACATGATTATAACGAAGGGTCATGACTATCGATTTTGACACAGCTAAGTGTGTATTTTATTATAACGTGGGGTCATGACCCGACACAGCCAAGTGTGTACGTGATTATAAAGTAGGGTCAAAACCCGACACAGCTAAGAGTGTACGTGATTATAACGTGGGGGCAGGACCCGACGCAGGTAAGTGTGTACGTGATTATAACGTATGGTCATGACCCGACACAGCCAAGTGTGTACGTGATTATAGCGTGAGGTCATTCCCCGACACAGCTAAGTGTTTATGTAATTATAACGTAGGGTCATGGCCCGACACAGCTGAGTGTGTACATGATTATAACATAGGGTCATGACCAATGACTCTGACACAGCTAAGTGTGTGCTTGATTATAACGAAGGGTCATGACACGACACAGCTAAGTGTGTACTTGTTTATAACGTAGGGTCAGGCCCCGACACAACTAAGTGTGTACGTGATTAAAACGTAAGGTCATGACCCGACACAGCCAAGTGTGTACGTGATTATAACGCAGGGTCATGACCAATGACTCTGACACAGCTAAGTGTGTGCGTGATAATAACGTAGGGTCATGACCCGGCACAGCTGAGTGTGTACGTGACTATAACGTAGGGTCATGACCCCACACAGCTAAGTGAGGACGTGATTATAACGTAGGGGCATGACCAAAGACTTTGTCACACCTACTGGTCAGGATAACAAAGCCACCGACCATGTAGTTCACAGTACAGCTTCGTACGTGATTATAGCGTAGGTTCATGTCCCGACACAGCTAAGTGTGCACGTGATTATAACGTAGGGGCATAACAAGACACAACTGAGTGTGTACGTGATTATAACGCAGGGTCATGACCAATGACTCTGACACAGCTAAGTGTGTGCGTGATAATAACGTAGGGTCATGACCAGTGACTTTGACACAGCTAAGTGTGAACGTGATTATAACGTAGGGGCATGACCAAAGACTTTGTCACAACACAGCTAAGTGTGTATGTGATTATACCGTAGGGACATGACCCGACACAGCTGAGTGGGTACGGGATTATAACGTAGGGTCATGGCCCGACACAGCTGAGTGTGTACATGATTATAACATAGGGTCATGACCAATGACTCTGTCACAGCTAAGTGTGTACGTTATTATAACGTAGGGTCAGGCCCCGACACAACTAAGTGTGTACATGATTATACCGTAGGGTCATGCCCGACACAGCTAAGTGTGGACGTGATTATAACGTAGGGGCATGACCGATGACTTTGACACAGCTAAGTATGTACGTGATTATAACGTAGGGTCATGACCAAAGACTTTGTCACACCTATTGGTCAGGATAACAAAGCCACTGACCATGTAGTTCACAGTACAGCTTCATGACCGCAGGTCCGGGGTTCGAATTCAGATCTGTCCCCGTTTCAGTTTTACATACATAAAACACTGTTGTTGTTTCATTCTAATATTTCAATTGTGTCTCTTTTGTCATGAAAACCCCCACAATGTAGTTTTTGTTTAAGAAATGGTTTATCAAAGCGTAGTCATGGTGGATACAATGTTTCTACCGTGTAATTACTGCCCGAACCCCTAACGCTCCCGTACACACACACGCCGCCCGAACCCCTAACACTCCCCTACACACACACGCCGCCCGAACCCCTAACACTCCCCTACACACACACACGCCGCCCGAACCCCTAACACTCCCCTACACACACAC